AAAAAGTCTCCAAGGAAGAGTAGTCATTGTATTGTCACTGATTAGTGATTCTTTACTAAACAACAAACGAACCTGGTCATGTCCAAACGCAAGAGTTGGTCAGGCTAGAATCCTTGGTAGTTTGTTCAAAAGACGCAAGGTGGCGTCGTACCAATGGCGGTGTTTAGATGGAGCCATGTTCATTCTGCTTCGGTGGAATCGGACTTCCATCCGAAAATACAGGCTTAGTACTAGTGTGAAGGGGAGGGGGTATGGATTGTGGACCGGTTTATTATTATTACGATGTAAATCACATATATCACAACAGTCGCAGCCCGAAGACTGAATTGATGAAGTGATATAACTGCAACACATGATTAACCCTCAAACACCCGAACGGGGTCCATTTGGACCCCGGGCGTATATTTTTATGTGCTATTTGACATTTTTTCATTCGAAAAAAAATTCCTCCCATGACTTTGTCGATAAACATCTTCTACAAGTTCTCCTAATTTTTTTGTAGACCCCAGCCATGTATTTGCACTTTCCTACACACAAAATTGTTCGGATGTCCTAAATATTTCTTCAAGGAAGCATTATTGCTTTAATATTATGCAGTTCGCCAAGTAGCCTCCACCTCTGGAATTATTTCATCAGGTTTTCAGAGGTTTGACAATTTGACAATCATATGAGGTCAAAGGTCAACCCCATGTTCATGCCTGCAGGCCTCATCCTATTTTTGCATAAATTATGATAATATGCTGGAATTTTTAAACACTTTATCATGCCAAAATATACCTCTTACTATGTTTAACCAATATATGTGCAAAGATCACTGAAAGAATGCAAAAAGGAATATAAATTTGAAAGAAACCAAATTGGGTCCATTTGGACCCCGTTCGGGCATTAATGTCACAAAAAAAGTTCGGGTGTTTGAGGGTTAAAAACAATTCTACGCAAGCTAAAATCAATAGCAAAAATTTTACGGTCAACATAACCATTCAGATATACAAGACGATTCTGTTATAAAATTGAAATACTTTAAATTCGGATAGAAATACGAGTTATAGGGCAATTTACATTAAAAAATTACGTGTCCAGTAGACTGACCATGTGTTGTATACTACTCGTTCTGTACTTTATCGTTCAATTCTAAACTTCAGAATGTCTAAGATGAGGTGTGGACATCTTGCATCTGTATTTCGGGACGGTCATCCAACGAAGCTCAATAAAAGTTATCTAACGATTATGACTATATTATATAAGATTATATAGATTTTAAAACAAGATATTTTGGAGTTTCCTCGCCCATGTAAATGTCTTTTTCCTTAGGAAAAGGCACGTTAGAGGAACTTCGACGTTTGACGGTCCGCCGCTGGACGCCAGGAAACTGTCCCAGGCGTTATACATCGGGGATGTTTGCCTACGCGGGATGGTAAGACTTAACTTTTTTTGTTCATTTTTGTATTAGGCAACACTGCCTTAATTTTATGGATGTCATCCTCTAGTGCGGGCGGACGAAAAAAATTCCAGCCACAACAAGTAAAATCTGAGATTTTATACCTCCGGGCTTTTTATTGTATATTTTTATATAGGGTTTTAAACAAAGAATTTATCGAGACTCGACACCCCTCTGTGTGAGGGGTCATATACGTGGACCAGACCGAGAATAGCTTAAACACGCCAAAGGTCAACGGTCGCGACCACTTTCACGCTCAAAGGGGTGTTTTGGGGCCACCAAAAGACACCATTTCCACGCCCGAAAACACATATACAATAAAAAACAAAAGAACGTGCATCATCTGCAGCCCAATAGCAAAACATATACCGAGTCTCAAAAGAATCCGTCCACCCAAACGCGAGAAACAGCTGCGAACACGAAAACCAAAATCTCTCACAAACCCTTCCGCGGAAGGATGTCTCCTTCCCCGGAGGCAACAAGTCTGGCAATGAAAACATACATTGCCATGTCGACGGTTCTTACTGCTAGGGTTATTGTTTGCATGGCACCAAAGGCATTCTACAAGCTCGTTGATGGCACTGCCATCATTTCATGATTTTGAGGAAGACTTGATACCTGTTAAGTTTATACAGATACAGTACACTCCTCCCCTGTGTGTAGTGAACGAGCCCTAGGGTCACAGAAAGTGGGGCATCCGGGGCAGACAGGTCTTCCCAAGGGTTTCAAGGACAGGCCA